CCGCCGCAACCCGGAAGCAGAGGGGCGGAGGAGGCGGGCGGGGGGCGGTGGCGGGGCGGGACGGGACGGGGCTGTCCGTCCGCTCCTTCCCTCCCTCTCGCCCCGCGGGGGCTCCGAGCGCCGAGCAGAGTACACGCAGTGTCGCACCCAAGCACCGGCCACGCCGTGTCCCCGCACAACACGCTCCCCCCAAATCCTGCCGAGCCGGCGCCGCCGCGCTCAGGCTCCTCCCGGTCGGTGCGGGAGGAGGAGGCGGGCGCTGAGCGGCGGCTGCCGGAGCCAACGGGCGGCGCGGAGCGGGGCGGGCGCTGCGGGGGTGTCGGGGCAGAGCGAGGCGTGACCCGCTGACGGGCACCGTGCGGCGGGCGCGGAGCCGGACCCGGCGGGATCGGCGGCACCAGCGGCGGCGCGGGGCGTCGGTATCGCTCGGCTCTGGCTCTGGCTCTGGCACGGCGTCTCCTCCACCCCCTCGTGAGCCTGGGGAACCTGCAGCTCAAAGCCGCCGCCAGCCACACCACCATGTACCCCGGCAACAAGCGGAAAAAGCTGTGGCGGGAGGAGAAAGGTATTCTCGCCCTTCCCGGTGGCCGGGCCCGCTTCTCTCGGGTTTAACCCCGCGTTGAGCCGGGATGGAGCGAGGGGAGCGCCGGGGGGTGGTCGCGGTGCTCTCAGAGCCGCCGCCTCACCGAGGGGGTGTCCGGCAGCGCTTCCCGCGGTGAAGGGACGCGGTGGGGAAGGGGGAACTTCGCGTTCCCCGCGCTTGTGCCGGGCTCTCCCGGCTGGAAAGCCCATGGCAGCCCGGCCGGGCGGGAATTGGGCTTGTTTCCCCCGCACCTCGTACCCGCGAGCCGTGCAGCCCCGGGGCGGAGGGAAGCCGGCGATAAACAACCCCTCTCCGCAGGGCTTTCCGCCCCCAGTCACCTTGTGCGAGCGGTTCAGGCCGGAAAGTTGGGCACATGCTCTCAAAACGTGCTTTTTCTCCTTTCGATGCGTTTGTTTTCCTAGAGGAAGCGTGGTTTATTTGGCTCATCGGTGTAATCAGTTTGGATTCTAGTGTCGTTCAACCGGGGTGAAATGTTGAGCACCCCTACGTCCCATCTTTTGAACTATTTATGCATTTTTGTTTTTATCTTTTTATGTATTTTAAGGACTCCGACATGTGTATTCTCAGTTTATAAAGCCCCTAAGCCAAACTCCAGAGCATGAAAACTGTGGGCCAAGCATTTGATGCGTTATTTTGTTTGTACTTTATATTGATGCCGGGGAGACCAATATAAAAATAAGAAAAAAATTCAGAGTGGAAGTACAACATTTACATCTGTGAGGAGGAAAGCTTCTTGCCCGGTGTGTTCCAAATAATGTAGTAATAGATGAGGAGAGGAAGAAATACCTATCAGGAGGTTATTTTTAAGTTCTCTTTTTTTTCTTCCATCACCCTTGTGACTGTAAGTATGTTTCAAGCTAAGAAGGCAGAAGACCAGCTCAATGAAGAGGATTCAGGTGCACATTTCCAAGGAAAAATTGTTAAAACAGAAATGAACTTATTTTTCTGTAGGGTAGTTGCTCCTGTCAAACTCCTCTCAAATGAAGTGAGTCTTTTTCTTTCAAACTATCTTACAAGCCATGTTTCTGTAGTAAAGGTGAGGCAACAAATTTCTACCTGACAGAACTTTCTGTTTTCAATGAAGAAAGTTAAATTGTCTCAAGCATTGTTTATGTGTGATTTTTTTCTTAATGATGTATGTTTCATCTTTGAAAAAAATGAAAGGGGCAGATGGGGAAAAGTTACTGGTGGACTCTAGTGGATGTTATTATTACTCTCACTTGTCTCTTTCAGCTCTGTTACTGTCTATGTGAATTCACAGCTTGGCAGGTGAATTCAAACCATTAATAAGGAGGGCAGAGTGGAGGGTCTGGAAACTGGAGCTACTGACACACTTTTGTTGTCTCAGCATGTTATGAGGATGGTGGTCTCCCTCAGTGTGGTGATGTTACTGAATGCATATCAGTGCTGCTGAAGTTTTTCCATCCAGGATGCATTTTTGAGTGCTAGCTGGCCATAACTCCCTCCCTGTCTTTTTGCCCAGTGAGAACGAAGAGTATTTGCCAGTCTTCTGCTCCAGTAAGTGTTCCAGCACCACGCTGATGTTGGCCCTGAGTACTCTGAGTGAGGAGGGCAGAAAAAGCTTCTTTCTTCATTGCTGGCATTGCCCTTCAGGTGCTCTTATCAAGTACCTCGTTTAATAGAGAAGAAAACTACAGAAGCCAAACTCCCTTCTTTCTTACCCAGTCAGTACTTTGGAAATCAAATCTTGTCAGGTCTGCCTTCACCTTTCACAAGCACCCCTGAACCCCTGCAAAGCTGGTTCTCACTGGCTCTGTTCTTCCCGTGAAGCTCTGAGTGCAGTTGCTCTCAGCCTTTTATATTCTGAAGCACTTCTTAAAATCAAAAAAAGCACTGATTGCTAAATATTGAGTTCAAACCCACTGACAATACGCTTGCTTTTCTTAATTACTTTCTTGGTAATTAAGGGTTGGTCCACATCCTCTCAGGGGAGATCTTCCGTGAGGACAGCTGAAACGGAGTAGGAGCAGGAGTGGAGGTGATTTCAGAGCCTTAGACACAGGACTGGGCTGCCTGCAAACTTCCCAAGCTTCTGCCACAGGCAGAAAACTCTGCTTGCAGTGAAAGCTGTTGGGAACATCCTCTGGGAGGTTTGTAAGACTCTGTTTCAGTTCTTGCTTCTGACTCACAAGAGGAAACTTGTAAAACCTTCCTGGTAGAGAAGAACTTGTGTTTTGAAGGCACAGGACTGCCTCTTCAGCAAAAGACACCTATACTAGCTGTTTGTCAGTCCCTCAAAACTGACATGCTCTCTCAGGTCTGCCCACCTGTAGGACTTCCAGTGTGCATTTCGCATACTTGGAGTTTTGGGTAATGGAGGTGGGTACACAGCTGTTGTGCAGAATTGTGACCCTCTTTAATCAGTTCTAATGGCAGGTCTAAATATCCCACTGAGATACCAGGCTGAATAAGGAGAGAGAAATGTTTTTGTCAACCCAAGAAATTGGTAATACTGTGTAAAAAATACCAAAATAAGCTTATTTTGTTAAGGAAGGCTGTGGTCAAAACTTGCCTTATTAGACTGTGCTGTCTACAGCCTACATAATTAGGAAACTCTATTTTGAAAAAAGCACAAAAGAACCTCAAACCAGACCCCAGTGATTTTCTTTCTTGGTTTAAGATTTGATCTGAGAAGCAGTTTCTGTGTTCATCCTTTGCTGCTTCAACTTGAGATGAAAATGTTTTTTTTTATGTCTGTGTAGTCCTTTATGTAAAATGCAAATAACACAGGTCTAACGTTTCCCCACACCCCTAAAAGTTCTTCAGTAATTGGAAAGCATTTATTACTGATAAACATGTCAAGAAAAACTGTTAATGTGGTTAAAGCAGCACAGTTAAAACAGACTGAGAAGTTTGAGTAGAGTATGGGTGTCATGATGTTCTCTACTGGTCTTTTTCTTTTCCCCTCTTCTTTTGGGAGGGAAAAAGCTCTTCATCTTGTGCTGAGCTAATACTAAGCATTGATGAGGTAGGGAGGGAAAAGAGTATGTGACTGCAGAAATGAGCTAAAGTGCTGGGGTTGCTTGCAGTTTTGGGTCATTGTGATGGCTTTTTTTTTTTTTTTTACTGTAAAAGTCCATTTATAGCAGGGTCAGAAGAAGAGTGAAGTTAGCAGTTGCTGTCATGGTGTTTGAGGCTTTAGTGTGGTAACTAGGTGTGTCCTATTAATATTCACATGAAAATCTCTAAAGCGAAACTTGCCTTTTTTACCACGCCAGACACCCAGCAATTGACAAGCATTTGCTCTGATCTCTTTTGTGGCATAGTAGCATTTTGTTAATTTCCCACCAGCTCCCTTTACTTGAACTTTTGTGGGTTTTTTTAGTTCTGGTTTACAAATGCAAAACCTGCAGAACAGACTTGCATACCTGAAAACTCCCTATAAAACAACAATTCCCTACTAAAATTGCTGTTGTAAAATTGTACAGATGCACCATAGTTAGCTCCTGTTGTAACTCACTGCATCACTCGTGCTTGGTCCTCTCAAGTGGCATTTCATTCATCAAGGGCAGTGCATTGGTCACTGTGTCACTCATATGCAGCAATGTATGAAAGCTTGCCAAACTTTTCTTATTTCTCTTTCCCCTAAACAGAGCGTTTGCTGAAGATGACCTTGGAAGAAAGACGCAAAGAGTACTTGGGGGATTATGTTGCATTAAAAACTATTCCAACATGGATGGAAGACTTAAAAAGTAAGAGTGAAAGTGATGGTAAGTGAAGTGGGAGAGTCTTTGAAACATAGACCACTCTGTTTTCTCAATCTGAAGTTACTTTTAGGAAGGCCAAGACTTAGAACCCATGTTGTTTTGAACAGTGTTAGCCTAAAATTGGGATGAGGATGAAAAAAACAAGATTTCTTAAATTTCTGGACACCTCACTGGTGTCCCAGAACTTTCTTGGTATTCCCAGATGGAGTCGCTAATCCTTAAGTGTGAGAAATAGATCTCTGCAGGAGTCTTGCTTTCCAGATACTCCAGCAGTCAGCTATGCCTAAACTTACTGAGCATAATGATAGGGGGAATCTGGGCAAAACAATGCTGCAGGTGACCCAAAAGCAGAGGCTAAGTGTGCAAGTTGTGCTATTTCCTAAGAATCCAGAAACTGGAGAAGATGGGGCCAGCCTTACCTACATGTCCTGCCTGCTTTCTTGGGCCGAGGAACTGATGTTCCTCTGGCCAGGATTAGCTCCAGTTTCCTTAGTGTGTCCACCCTTATCATGGTTGTGATCACCAGCAGAGTTTTCTAAATACTTGCAGTGAGAACTAACCAAAAATGTGAATCCTATTTGCTTACAGATGTCTCTACACTGCAAGTAATTCTGTTCCAATGCCTTGTTCTTTGTCTAGTTCTCTTTCATTAATTCAAGGGTATGGAGGAACAGGGGTGGCTTCTGAGCTAGTTTCTTTCTCCTTTTATTTTTTTTTTTTTTTCTCTGTATACTGCTATCCTTCTTGGCTGAAGCCTGTGTTTTTTTGAAGGAGTATCTAACTATGAGATCTGAAGTGCTTCCTGCCTCTGCAGATATAGGACTAATTTTCAGACCCTTTTGTTATCATTAAAGGCAAATACTGGCCTGGGTGGAGAGGTGTGTAGAATAACCTTGTGGCTGCAGGTGAACATAGTCTTCATGGTGATAGTCCAGGTGAAATGAGGCATGGAGCTGATCAGCTGTTTTTAAACTGGAAGGCGGTAACACTTATTTTAGCACAATCTGAAGGAGCTCACAGATTTTCAGATGTCCTTGTCAAAAGCAGCTATTACTATTGTCTATCCTAAAAGCGTCTGGAATAATTTTCAAAGTGAAAATATGTCAAGAGATTGCTGAGCTCTTCAGCCCTGCTGAGTAGCTGTATCACATCAGTACCCATAGATCTTTCTCCCATTTGAGTAGGTCATTTATATCTTGCAGCATCAGAAAGCCTGTCCATCTAGACAACAAAGGCTGCATAAAAATAAAAAAGAATGCCTGACTTCTTGCAAGGTGATCTCGGAGGCCTGTGGTATGTGGGAATATACAGTATGTCATGTGGTTTAACTGGGAGACTCTTTATACCTCCTAGCCCAAACTATGTTGTTTTTTTTTTTTCCAGCTACTCTCAGATTCTCTGTAAAGCACTGAAATTCACAGATGTTGAATAACTTGGGCTTCTGAAAGTGACAAGGTGTGGATTTATGTTGTGACTGCTGTTACACTTCACAGAAGCAAAATATCAGTATCTAATATGTGGGTATTGAATCATGGCAGTGGTGAATTTATTTCCTTGTAGCTGCTCTTGAATTCTTTTTGTTAGTACCCAATACACTGCAAAAAATGCTGGAAGGCAAAAGTTGTGCTGGAGCACAGCACTGCTGCATGAAGGTTTTGTTACACTATATGTTCAGGAGAAAATATCCATAGTGACTCTTTTTCTTTGATGTATTTGTTGTAAGTAAGCCATGTGTAATAGTGAACTTCTGGAAGGTTGGGCTGCTGAAATGCTTCCACATTCCAACTGATTAGGCCAATTAAAAGAAATATGTGTATTAATGTGACTCTTACTGCTTCTGTTTCAAACTTTATTCCTCTTAAATGTTGACCCCATTCTGAAGGTATCAAGTGTGTCTAAAAGCTGTCTTTTTGAGCTTAATTACAGAAAAACTAGAATTTAAATCTTACTGCTGATGAGAACTTTTGTGCTGTTTGATGGGACATACAGAGGGCAACAGGTACAGCCTGAGTGAGATTCTGGAGAGAACAAGTGAAGCCCCAGGTGTGATGGAATTGGGGAGAGAACAAGTGAAGCCCCAGGTGTGATGGAATTGGTGATGATCTGACAATGCCATGAAAAATAAAATCTTCTGTGTATTTGTCAAGCCAAAACATCACCTGGTGGGGAATTTGGAAAAAATTCTTTACAATTCACTCCCAACAGTGAGTTGGATGTTGAATTTTATGACAGTTGAAAAAATGACAGATTGATTGGTAAAGCATAGAGTGGCTGTTCAGGAAGAGTGATGAGGAGAAATCAAGAAAACAACCAAGAACAAATCAAGTGAAGCAGGCACAATCAATCAGCTGCTGGAGTAAGAAGCTGTAGGAGAAGGGCAGAGCATCTGAGCTGGCAGCCATTCACAAACACACTCAGTACTCAACTGGAGATTATGGGTGTTCAATACTGTACAAGTTTTTGTATTGGCTATTAGGAAAAATTAAGTGTACAATGTAAAACTTTCACAGAGCCCATTTCTAAATGTGAATGGCTCACTGCAAGGTGTTGGGGAATTCCAGTTAGACATACATTTTTGTTACATGGAAGTCTAATGGCAGATTATTAAAAAGTCTGCATGTGGAATAATGCAAACTGAAATGACCTAAGAGGTTAATTTTGGGAAGGAAGCAATCTCACTGCTGGGATACTTCATGGGTGCTCTTTATTGGCAAATTGGAAGAACATACTTTAGTTTGTGGAAGAAAGTTTTTCCCTACTGCTCTTCTACCCTTTGATAGAAGTTGTGTTCAGAACTAAATTCTGAAGAAAACTAGCAAAGCTTGGAAGAAGTTCAGTGTTTTGGTGAGGATGGAAGTCTTTGTAACAGAGCAACATGAGGGATGCACATCTATGTAAAGGCTCCTGAGGAGTAAAGTTACTGAATACTGAATGGCAGCTGGCAAGGGCTTTCTCTCTTTGTTGGTAGCAAAGCTATTAAAAATATTTGGAAGTTCAAAGAGGCAGTATCTTTTAAAATGCTCTGCTGTGAGTAAAAAAAAAAAAAAAAGGAACCGAAAAACTACATTTTTTGTGGGTCTCCTCATATGGACACGACTAGCCATAAGAAATTAGGTTGGTGTATGTTGGCTTGGAATTTGGTCTGTTTGTGTTAAGTCTTCATTTTAGGAAGACGGTGGCACAAAGTGGAATGCAAAGACTAAGCTTGGTGCCCACTTTTCTGCACTAAGGGAAGCAATCTGATGTGGGTATAGTAATTTCCAGAAGGGCTATGCTGTCAACACCCCTGATTTTTGGTGTGCTGCTTGCCAGCCTGCACAAGAGGATCTCTGAGATGAAGTGTTTCAGCAGTGGAAGGAAAAGGGACAGTTAGTGACAAATGGCCCTCCTTAATGTCAAGAGGGGATGGTAGGAAGACAAAACTTTGGTTCTTGAAGTAGTCCAGTAAATATAAGCTTTCTCTGCTTTAAGTATTTATTAAGGAAATGAGGAGTTGTCCACTTTGGAAACAAAGAATGAGCTTGCTGTAGAGGGCTGGATAGTGTGAATATCCTGTAATGTATCATTCTCCCCACTTTTTATCCTTCAGATAGACCAAAAGCACATACATCTCATCTGTTTCCTCATGTACTTTGAAACAGAGTGTCTTCCTGACAACATGTGAATAATGAACTTGTTTTATGAAGTTCTGGAATTTATATCCCTTTGTTTCAATGCTATTTATTACATGGCACTTTCTTAGGCACTCATCTTGTACAGCAACAGGCGCTAATGTTGCTCTGTGAATTAAATGCCACCATGTAGACAACTAGAGTGTATTTTGAAGTTAAATACATATATTAGCTTTTTGTTGGGTACACACTAATTCCCAAAGATATTTTTATTCTGCAGTGGTGAATTTGAGAGATGACTTCTGAAAACTTTTCTGGAAAGCTTTTTTAAAAATTAGGGTCTTGGTAATTTTGTTGTCATTGAGTTTTGTGTGTCACTGGTAGAAAAACATTTTGTTGTATTAATTGGATAATTCAGAAAATGGAATAATTGATATTGTTTAACTCCAGGCAGCTGATAGTCCTGCTGACTCTCACAGCCCCTGGAATTCATTGGTGTGACAGTGATGCCAAGAAAACAGCAAATTTAGGTGATGGTTTAAAGATCTTTACTAGTGGTAAGAACAGCTTTTCACAGGATGAAGTTAAAATGGAAGGATGTGATAACTAAGTTTATTTTTATTTAAGATTAAACGACACAAAAGGTCTGCAGTCCTTTTAAACAAGTCTTGAAATATGTTTAGATGTTTTGGCAGTCTCTGAATCTTTTTAATCTGCTATTTTTAAAGAAAATGATATGGCTTAAACTATTCAAATTGATCTGAGGGTTTTACATATAATCATAAGGTTTGGATTTAATAAAAGCATTGTTGTACTATCAATGTGTAGCTTTCTAAATATTCACAGTGGGTTGACACAAGATTACAGAGACAAAGCACGTAGATGAGCCAGTCCAAATGCTGCATGGTGAAAAGAAAATGTGTAGTAAGACTGAGCTCTGACTAGCATTTCTTGAGATGGGTAACTAGCACAAGTAACTCTCCAGTATCTCCATGCAGCCTTGCTTGATGTGAATATCTGTCCTGCAGGAACTAGGAGCCAAAGTGATTATTATTAAACAGACTTTGGAAAGTGACACCACTACTAAGCTGCAGTGAAATTCAGCCAGATATCTACAATTAAGAAATGGCATCTCTCTAAACCATTCAATATTATCAGTGATTTATACAGAAAAGGAAATTATGTTCAACTACAACATTGAGATTGTTAGACCAGTTTGACAATCCCAAGATCTGTCGGTAAGAGCTGTGTGAAACCTGTGTGTTTCAAGACCATTCCCCTGCCAAAGATCCAAGTCCATCAGTTTTCATTGTGATTTTTTTTTTTCTTACAATGACTGTAGCAACTGTCTTTATAACAGATTCTTAGCTGAGTGGAAAGGATGAAAATAAATTGAGACAGCTTAGTGTAATTTTTGCTATCTTGCAAAAAAAAAAAAAAAAGAAAAAAAGCTTTTTCTGATGAAACTCTTGCTTTGGGGAAGTTCAGAGTGCAGCAGTTTTTCTGCTGAGTACACACATAAAACAGCAATAACCTGTGTGCCACTGTTCAGGGTCTCCTCTATTACCTGTGGCCCTGAATGTGAATTCCAGCTTCACCTAAACTCATGCTGTATTTGGTTTTGTCCTTACTTTTCATGTATTGGCATATCACTGTTACTCATGCTAAACATCTTATCACAAGGTCTCTTCAAAAGTGGTGTGTTTAAGGTTAGAAAACTGTATCTCCTAGATGTACATGGAGAGCACTGCTTGTTAATTGCTATGTATAATAGCTGGGGAAGCACCATGAAAATACTAACAATTGTGGTTGTGTGAGGATTGTGGTAATTAAGTATTTTGAATACTTGTGAAATTAACATGCTTTTTGTGGACATGGCTGAAAACATGTTTGGTCATTTCTATTCTCTGTCCATCTTATATGCATATTGACGAAGCAGCAAAGGAATTAGAGGAATAAGAAGGGCAAACCATGTTTGCAGCTTCTTAGTCTGTGCTGCAGGTTTCCAGGAGTCCGTGTGCCCATGGCATAATGTGGAGTAACTTTAAGGCTGAGTTGGTATTTAGCTGTGACAGATATCTAAGGCTGCCAGGGCAGGAGGGTGTAACCTGAGCCCCGTGTGCTCTGCTTTCCTCGGGCTCTTGGCTGCCCTTTCAGGATGTGTCCTGAACAGACACAAAGCTGCAGAGTGGTACAAATCTGACCATATGATCTGGTGACCCCACACACCCTTCTGGCTTTCCCAATACATACTTTGGCTATTGATTTCAAAGATAGACTTGCACAGTACGGAGGTGAGAATAACCCTTTGTTGTGGTTTAACATAGTTTGGTTTTTAGTTAAGGGAAAAAAAAATCCATGAGCTATGGAAGTGATTCCCTGTAAGGACCTTGGCAGGTTCCTTCAGACGTGACAGAACCAATCAACTGGCTAGTTTAAAATATTGACACCCTGTTAAATCACTTAAGAAAGTCAAATCCTCAGTGGGAGGAGAATGAGGAGGTACCTTAGTCTTGGACTGGAATTCTCCTGTAAGGCTCTGGTGAAGATAAAATTGATACACCAGAGTTTTTTTTCATGGAATGCTTTGGGGGGGATGTAGCATTCTAGCCATCACCATGAGCAGAAGCACCAGTGTTGAAGTGAGCAGATGTTGAAGTAGCTGTGATCTAATGAGGAGCTTGAAGAGAGAGAGATGAGAAACCTTGCCTCAGGGATAGAATAAGAAAACCTCTGTTCCTGGAAATAAGAGAACTTTTGTTTCTATACTAGAACAGCTCATCCTTAAATTGCACCCCAATAAGCTGAGATGACCCATGGTGGTAGTTATGGGAAGACTACCAAACCATGGGAGGGTCTTCACAATTGCAGATTTCTGGGCAGCTGCTATTTGTGAAAATTAAAACCACAAAAAAACCTGTTTCTTGTGGGAAAGTCTCCATGGCATGGCAGGAGAGACTCTGAAGTACCTCTAAGTGAACTGAAGTAAGATTATTTTTTAAGTGGTAAACTGACTGAAAATAACAAATTTGTCTCTTTATATTGTCAGCAGGAAAAAAAAGTTGGAGGGAGAAGTGGGCTGAATGTTTATTCTAATTTCTTACTATTTCTTTTCTTTTGGTTCTGTTAATGAAATTTTCTTTATACCCTTTAAAGTTTTGAGCCTTCGTTGCTCTCCTCCGAATTCTTTCCTTGCAGCAGAAAATGAGTAAATAATTCCAGTGGGTGCACTGGTGTTTGGCTGGTGCTAGAGGCACTACATTAACTGGTGCATTGGCCAGGAAACTCAGATTGGCAAACCTAAACCACTACACTCTTGAGGTGCACGTTTACTTGAGCATAAACTAAGCAATAATCTGTGTGTGTGTGTTCATTTATTCTTGGAGGTGAATCATCTCTAGTTAGTGATATCCCTGATGTAAGTAGAGAAATCAGTGTGTTTGGTGTAAGGGGTGGAGGGAAGTGACAGTAAACAAAAACAATGAAGATGTATTCAGTTGACCTTGTAATTCTCTGGTGAGTTTCATGTGAATAACCTTTATTGGCTGGATTAGCTGCCAATGAGATGACGCTTGTTTTACAGTTTGCATTAAGTGTCTTTGGGAAAAACAAAAAAGTTTCTTGCTTTCGGCAAGTATGAGATGATGATTATTAAAAAGTTCAGGTCTGTTTACATAGATTAAGAACACAAAATCCAGTGTAGCTAATCCTCTCTCTAAGCAAGTAAGTCACTTGTCTTTGATGTAATTAACATGATGACTTTTCTTTAAGCTGCTGCTCTGTGCCTTTTTAACGAGGTAGCTTCCATACAGCATTAAGCTTATACAAGTCCTGGATAGAGTTATTATTTTGTGGCTCTTCTGCATGCAGCTGAGAAAGCTCTTGTATCTGCAGTGTCAGACAGCTCCTTGAGGGGCAAAAGTTAATCATAGCAAAGGATGCTGCCCTCAACAATAAATTGATAAATTAGTGTCCTTATTGAGGCTCAGCAAGCTTTTGATGGGTTTCAGAGAGGAATAGCAGGTGGAGATGCAAAGGGAAGTTAGGTACATCTTTGCCATAAAGAATAGTTTTAATGTTTAATTACTGGTGACATGAATCTTGAGCAGATTAATAAGTTTCAAACTTCTGTCCTGTGCAATATGAGAAACAATCCTTTTTTTTTTTGGTAGCTGCTGAATGTCACTGCACTGAAGTTTTGTAGAGAGGTCCCTGAGGAAGTACTTAGTAAAGTTAGGAAGTCAAGATGATGCAGTGTTCTGTCAGCTGGCAGGCTCGTTCAGGGTGTGAGGGAGGATGACTTTAGCAGCATTGATGCTTTAAGTTGGGATGTGCTGTTCCTCAGACACTGCTGAGAAAAATTGTAGGTTCCAGCTTGGAATATTTTGGTGGCTGACTTGAGTAAGATAATTTAACATGCAGGGTAAAAGTTACAGGTTAAATATTTTGGCTTCTGTCTTTTCTTCCATTATTATTTTTTTTCCATTCTTCTTTTTATATATAAAAGGTGAGCTTCTTTTCAGTCTGGGGGATTGCAGGATCAAACCCCCAAATTAATCTATAGCTCTACAAAGACAATTTCAGTAAGTCATCTAGTTTTTCTCAGTATGGTAGCTTGGCTAGTGCCCTAATCTATAATTTGTGATGGATTGTGGCATATGTCCTCACAGTCCTTTGCAGACAGATGTGAGCCAGTGTGCCAGCCTGATTAGAAGCCATGTGCCTATGATTAGACTGAGGCCAAAACCAAGCTGTTAGATTGTATGTACCCTTGTCATGGCTCACTTATGTGCATCTGTTGCCTGACTATGTGACTTTAAGATATTTTCAAATGCAGGTGTCCTTCTGCAGAAGATGGAGCTCTCTTTTGATTAGACAGGTAGAGACTGGTATGGCTTGGTTTAATTTCATGTAGTTACATATGACACATATTTATGAAGGTCCTGAACGATTGTCTCAATTAGAATTTGCTGCCTGGCTCTTTATAATTAGTGATGACACAGGATAGGCCATCCAACTCTGGGTGTGAGAGGCTTGCAACAAGTTTGAAAATTAACCTCACACTCAGAGGAAGTAATGATAACTGCTTTAACTCCCTTGATGGTGTTGGGGGATCACTAGTGCAGTTTAGGCTACCAGGCTCTCTGTTTGGATAATGTTAACTAACTTTCATGTGTAGCTATATTTGCTTCATGCACAGTTGAACACTTGATTACATATGTGTTAAAAACCCAGTCACTGGAAATAACATAAGCCTGGCTTCCCTTTTTTGAATCAATATTCCCTTTTTTATTCAGATTCCCTTTTTCGATTCATTTCTACGTGCTCAACATGAAAATATGTCTCTTAACAAGTCAGCAAGGGTCTGAATAATTGTAGTGTAGAATCATAGGATTGTTAAGGTTGCAAAAGACCTTTATGTTGATTGAGTCCAGCCATTAAATGATAGTAGTTCTCTGTGAAGTGATAAGTGACTTTCTCCATGTGAAGACATCTAGCTGATGTGTATTTGTAAAACAAGTTGAGAGAAAATTTCTCAGCCCTGTAGGAAGTGCTGCTTATTTTTTTAATGCCCAGAAAATGCTCTTCTCTGCTGGAGAGAAGGCTTAACAATCCAATAGAAAGATGTTAAATTTGGATTTCGCGCACCTTTAAAAACCATTGAAATGATATTGAAAAGTATTTTCTATTTTAATGTACAGTGTGAGGGAGAAGCATAATGTTTTTGCACAGAGATTGTCCTGAGACTTGCAGGCTATTGCATGTTGACTTGGCATGTGTGCTGATGTAGCCAATACATTTATTTCTGAGTGTTTGATAAAAGCAATAATTAGTGTGGCACGGGTGCAAAAGTAAAATTTTAGGATTCTAGATTAGGGGTCCAAAGGGGACAAGATGGAGGAAATTGGGTGTGTCTTGTCCTTTTCCTCCTTCTTCATGCCCTCCATGTTTCACTGCAGTGTTGGCATTTTTCTGTTGGTTCAGGCTGGGGACACACTGTTCAACGTAGGTGACAGATATTGGCACGTTATTGTAAATCCAGCACAGGTAGTTTCTGGTATTTAATGTTTGTACCATCCCACTGAGGGCAGAGCCCCACACGCTGCCCTGCAGGACAGAGCTGCGGCAGGGCAGCAGAACATGTTAGAGATAAACAGAATAAACAACCTTGAAACCAGCACAGATGAATTATGGCTTCTTCTTTGGCAGCGGGGCAGAAAGACAGAGACTTTCTACAATCTTGAAATCATCAATACAACAGATTCCGACACCCTTCCTGTCGCTGGCCGGGGGCTATGTACAAGTCACCAACAGGACGGGACTGTTGTGGTATGCGTCTCAAGCTGTTTATTTTTTAGCATCAGTCTCATTACATGGT